AGTGTTTCAGGTTCTGCTCCAGGTGCTTCTGCTGGTTCAGCTGCTAAGCCTTCCTTAAAACTTTAGAAGCAAATATATCCTGCTTAATGCCAGCTCTCTGCATGGCTAAAGTTACTTTTCAGCATTTAAATCTCTGTCTTGCTGTAAGTGGAACAAGATGGATGTGTTAATTTGTTGACTTTACCTCTGCCTAATACTATAGATTGCTCCCTCTTTGGAGCTATATAAAGAGATTTGATGGCTTCCTCTGCTGGACCTGAAGATGGCCACTAAGGGTAGCAGCTTTGTAAAGGACATCTGAGTGCCTTGGGATCCAGCTCCATTCCTGGTGACAGCTGTTAGCACCTTTTAGCTAGTGTAAATGTAGAAAAGCATATAAATTATGAGGAGAGAGCAAATGTTTGAATAAGCACTCCAGAGAGAGCCATAGAGGTAGCATTAGGATGGAGCACTGCATCTAAGGACTACATCGTGGGAGGGCAGTGAACACAGCAATGTTCCCACCTCAGCTTCTTTTTTTGTGCCTCCCCCTCCTTTATAGATTTGCACTTGAAATGATTTAGCATAACCTTTAGTGAGTCCCTTCTTAAAGGACCAAACGATTGATTTTTCAGGCAGAGGCAGTGTGAAAGGAAGCAGTCCATGAATGTTACTCTCTCAAGGGCCTATAATCCCTGCTAACTTTTGTTGCCAAACTTGTTCCTCTTACCCCTGCCTATAGATTGTGTTAAAATTTCAGTGAAAAAATTCTACTTCTCCACTGTTGTTCCTGATATACTTTGGTTTAGGAAAAGCCGGATCTGGCACTGTGCAGAAGCAAACCCAGGCTGTGCTGCGGAAGGAATTACGTCAAGGTTCAGCAAGTGGGAGTTAAAAGGACATTGCACATAGAATTGGAACTACCTTATTCCATACACTGGTAATCTGGCTAACCCTAATTTTATCAGAAAGTCTGTTTGATCCGATTTCCTTATCCTGTTTCTTTCTGTTTAGTAAGTGCAGTCACTTTGGCCAGTTGTGTATGGATGTTGTGTGTGTTTCTTAAAATCATGGACATGAGTGTGATCTTTCTTATTTTCAGTAATGAAAACAGAGCGAGCTTTGTAGCAGCATCACTGAAATTGAATTTGTGGAAATATTTTGGCTATACAAGCTTTTATTTGATTCTTTAATATTTCATTTCCTGAATTTAGATTCAATTATGCATGTTCTTCCTTTTAAATGTACTCTGCTGTCCATGCTAGGCTAGCTCTTCTTATGACAGATGCAAGTATTAATGAACTCTTGGATCTGGTGTGTAGACATTATTGAACGCTTTCAACGCAATCTGAATTTTATTTGCTTTCTAGCTCTGGAGAAAATAACTTGTCATCAGTGATGTAGCTATGCAGGTGGTGACTTGATTGCTCTGGTGAGAACCTCAGGGGGGGAAAATTTAGGTTAGTGAGTGAGCAGCATTGCTCCTCTTCTGGATTTGTAGTTGGCCTGTTTTAATGTAAGCTTTATTATATAGTTTCTTTGAGTGAGGTCGAATGTAGGTTTGTATTGAAAATAAATAAATTAAATAATTGGACATGACCATATTTAAATACAATTTAATCTGTTACTTCTTAAAGCAATAGGGTGTTCCTTTCTTCCTTCTGTTCTCTCAGGTCCAGAGCTGGGCAGTATGCAATAAACCCTTGCATCACAGCTGCATGGACTGAAATAGATGGAAAAAGATCACATCCTTAAATGTAAGAAAGACTCATGCTGGCATTCCAGCACAAAGATTCCTAATGTTGTTTATTTAACATTAATTCTAGCTGTAGGAGTGACGGGAAGACTTTGTGCAATTCTTCCAAAAAGAGGAAACTCCAAGGGGCTCCGGAACAATGGCTATGGACATACAGAAGCCTAAGAACGGGAAGTTGGGTATGTTTCTATTTTTCTTTCTTCCTGTTTCATAGCCAATCTAGTGTTTATAGTTGTGTTAAACCGCTCACATTTGTCTCAAGGTGCTTTGGCATTTCTGAACTAAATGTCCCACAAATAAACAAATTATGATGGGGGCAGTAGAAAATATATCTATACACAACAGGAGATATGAGAACAAGGACCAGGGCAGGGAAGAGATGATGAAAGGCGCAGCTGTATCACCAGGTGGAACATGAGAACAGGCAAAATATTTGGGGGATGGGTGTCTGATGAGGGAAGTACATTACTGTTTTCCCACTAAGGAATAAAATTTCTTAATAATTTGTCAGGCTCTACCTTTTCGAGCTGAAATCCATTACTACATCAAAGTAAATGCCTTGCTGCTAATAGAATAAATGTTTCTAAATAGAATGTAAATGAGAAGAATGTATGAATTATAGGACATTTAAAGAATTTTGAGTGCCTGGGTGGATGGAGTTAGCCTTATTTTAAAAAGTGGCTTTTTTACATAATTTGATAATAAGTAATAAGCTTAGTTTCTGATTTTCTTGTAATTTGACATGTAGCAAATCGTTATTAAATGCGTGTGCTGCATCACACTTGAAGCATACACAGTTAAGGCAGTGGTAGTGGTGGCCTGGTTGGTTTATTCGCAACCCACCTTCCTCCTTTCCTACCCTCCCACTGTAAAGAGGTGGTGCCCTCCCTTTCTGGCACACCACCATGAGGAAATGCTGGTCAGCCTTGCTCAGCACTGAGTTATGCCAGCTTGAGCATGCTACCCTCTTCCAAAAGAGTGTGGGAGCCTTTCAGGGGTTAGGAGAAGCACGTAACTAGAAGTTATGATGTACCTCCTGTGTTCCCTCCATCACATTCTGCCTGGAGAAGAAACCTGTTTGAAAAGCCTGTATTGGGCAATTCTTGGAAACAGACACCTGGGTGGAGATGCAGTCTTGTCAAAAGGAAACCCAGAAAACATCTGCACAGACGTGGTTGACACAGGAGGTCATGATCCCATTTAATATGTCACTGCTTAATCTTAGCTGAGATAATTACATACACATGGCTGGCTAAACATGAAGTCAACAGGAAGGTATCCAGCTACATGTGGTACTAGAAGTAAATAGATTTAACTGCCACAGCCAGAAGCTGAGGGTATTAGGTGAATACCAGATGTTCCCTGACATCATTTACCTAAAAAATTTACACGTATTCATTCTTTGTTTGTCTTTATGGGCTGGTACCACTAATGATAAAATGGATATAGAATTTAGAGTTACTTCTTTGCATGCATTTTTGAAACATGACAGAATGAAAACTCTCTGTCCAGGAAAAGGTGTAACATACCACCCAAACCACCTGTAGTGCTGGGTTGATGTTGGCAAGTCATGGCTAATACACAGACCATTAGGTGTGGCTTGTTTGATTTAGTGGCAATCAATTTGGTGATCATTTAACACTCATTATTGCTCTGACCACCTGCTAGCCCCAGCAGGCAGTAGCTGTAGTGTGTAAAGCCTAAGAACAAAGAAAGTACTTTGTTTTTCCAGAAGGCCTCACCTTCTGGCCACACCATTATCATGTTTCTATGCAAATGTTTTAATAGCTGTTTAGAGCAACCTGTTCTAGTGCGAGCTATCCCTGCTCATGGCACGGGGGTTGGAACTAGATGATGTTTAAGGTCCCTTCCAACCCAAACCCATTCTATGATTCTACATCCACTGCAGTAGAGCTACAGTTTGGTATTATTGCTTCTGGGGACTTACTTAAGAGTTCCTTTGGAAGCCCACAGGGTATTATTTTTGCATGATGCTGCCTTTGCAGGATGCAGGCAGACCCATTGGTTTATTCCACACTCGGTGTCAGTTTCCTGTACAGTCATAAACACACACCACAAACTGTCTTGAGTTCCCAGCCTTAAAACAAGAGAATTAGCTCTCTCTCCCCCTGTTCCTTGCTGTGCCTTTAAGCTGTTTGTGAGCAGGGAATTTTCTTCTTCTCATGTGTAGTAAACTGAAGTTGAACTCTGTAGCGGTGTAACAGAATCAGATGTGCAGTGGTCCCCTAAGATTCACTGCTAGGGTATTTTTTTAACCAGGCCATGAGTAGAGGCCTGCATGATGAGCTTTGGGAAGGTTTCATGTGCCTACTGGGCACGTGCTTTTCTCCGAGTACTGATGCTCTCCACTCCTTGACCCAGGTCCATGAGAAGACCCATACCTGTACACCCCCACTGAGCTCCCCTGAGCTTTGCAGGACTTTTCATCCCAGCAGGACTCTTGGGAAGCAAATCTGGAGGATTAAAGTCTGCAAAAGCATGAGCTCTAGGTAAGTGCCTTCCCTTGTGTTCATACGAGATTTCAGACAAGTGAGTGAAGACATACTTCAGTTTTATTGTCGTTTAGGCATGGATAGAAACATTAACTCTTTTGCACTCTTGGTTCTTGAAACGTGCCTATAGTGAACTCGGAGCAGTGAAAAAACCCAGCTCCCAGGACTGGCAATTTAAAGTGCATAGGAGATCTAGCAGAATCCCAAAAGGTGAGGAGTTGTTTTATTTCCTTTTTCATAGCTGTGGAAGTTGAAGGACTTTTTTTTTTCTCCTCTCCCCTGTATTCCCCAGACAGTGGTATGAAAATTTTCAGCCCTTCCCTATGCTTTCCCTTTTGATCTTTGGAGGTTTCTTCTCTGTATTTAAGAACTATTTGTAGTGTTATAAACACAGACAGGTGATGTTTGCACGCTCCTTCACAGGACTCGGTTACAGCTTTTCCTGTTTGGAATCATGCCCACTGCATTGTTGGTGGCTGTTTTCTAAAAAATACGTATCACTTGGCAGTGTTCTCGCACCAAAAGGAAAAGATATATTTGTATATAAAGTAACTTTTTTGTGTGTTCACGTTTTATTTTGGAAAAACAGGTGTTTAAAAATTTTAGAATTTTTTTAACAAAATTCTAAAAAGAAAAAAATCACAATATTTACAGAGATAACAGAATGGCTTAGCCATGCAAAACAAACTACTTTGGTTTTTTTCCCCCATTTTACTTTGGTTTAAATGTTGACCAAGATTGTAATTTTTGTCTTTTTGCCAAATAAAACAGTAACAAATCAAAGTTTAGAGGCATATAACAGGATTTCCCTCTAATATCTTATACAGCATAGAGTTTATAGGACATCTTATGTATTTAATCCATGCCAATGCACTACAGGAAGCTTTTATTAAGACATCAGTCACTACTGCCCAGACATTTAACATTTTACAAATTTACAAGTAACAGTGTTTTCTTCCCCCTAAATAATGCAAAAGTGGCAAAATACATTTCCTAACGTCCATCTTTTTCTTTTATTTATTTATTCATTTTTGCCTACCAGTCTATAAAAACTTACTTTTTCCCTGGATATTTGTAAATGGAAACCTGATGTTCTGCTTACTCTACTGTTCCCCTCCATCAAAGCTACCTGTTACTTTCTTTCAGAAACTCACCTTCTGTGTAAGATGAAACTTCTCTCCCTTAAGTACAACCTTCTATTGGCCATTTACCCTAAAACTTCTTACCAGTACCATTCTAAAAATTCCCTCAAGCATAAAACATGTTTATAAAGTTACAAACTTGAATGTAACTAAAGATACATAGACATTTCATTGTTACAATTATATGTACTGTTCGATAAATTAGGTACCAGTTAAAAACACTAGAATTATCTCAAGGTGCATTCAATATCTGTAGCATAGTTAACAAAAACACACAAAAAATATATATATATATATTCTATTCTTGTGGAAAAAAAATGCAGCTTTGATATGACCACTTTTTAAAAAAAGTTTCCAATTCTGACTGGTATCTTTCTGAAATGAAGAAAAGGTACAGTACTTTAAGGCAGCGGATAACATAAAGGAATCAAAATTAATCCAGAATTCCAGTTCCTTATCCTAATTCTAACATGAAAGATGACTGTTAACGTATCAATAAAATGTGTCGTGCCCTAGAAGAAAAGGATGATTAGCCACTGTCTGTACGTAGGCTAGGAATTTTCATTGTTTTCCTTGCTTTAATACCCAGACTTCTTTGTGGAAACTCTTTGTTCCCTTTCTGTCTGTTCAGCTTTGCATGGTTTTTTAAACGTTCACTTTTAGTATCAATTTAGTTTATTCTTGTCACAGCTGTCACCCTTCTCCTTTACTGTGATTTCAGAGAATGAAAAAGGAGTTTGACATTTTCCTTTAAGACAGTCTTACACTCTAGGTACTTGCTACCAAGCAGAGGCTTCACTGATAACAATCAGAATTAGACATGTACCTGCTCAAAGGGTGTCATAAAAACAATTGAAATAAAACCATTACACTATACATCAGATTAACAGCAACTCCCAGAACAAAGCCTTACAGTGTATAAAAATAGCTACGTAAAAAATTTACATAAAGGCAAACAAAAAGAAATCTTCAGTGCAGACATTTACAAAAAAATATTTCAAACAGAACACAACATGGTGACCTATTATCATGGCTGTTGCCAAAATTAGTTTGTTGGGGTATTTTTAGCTTGAGATAATTGTGTCTAAAATCCTTTGAAAACTTGGTAGTATGATCTGTTTAATACTTGAACCATGAATAGCTGTCACTTCTTCGTATATGTTTAAATACAATCCACGTTCATGCTTCAATTGATCTATATGTATTCTCTGAAAATGTGAAAGATAAAGCCAGTTAAACATTTTGAAATATGTTAACCAATATAACCACTCAGTATTGAACCTTCAGATAAAAAGCTACGTGAATAGTACTTTCTTCTGTCACTCAGTGATGAGAATATTTTCTTTCATGACAAAAATAGCTGTTGCAATATTATTCCTGCTAAGTCCAGTAAGTTTGTCTGGTAATGGATTTATGACCATTTCATTTATATAGATCTACTGATCTGAAGAAATAAAATAATTAGAGATTGCACCAAAGGCACACAATGTTATTTCAACTCCTATGTTCAATAAATACCCTCAGTTAGCTTCAGCTCCATCTAGTCACCTCAAATATTGCCATATTACAGAAGGTACGAGGTCCAGAAAAAAAATACAAAACAAGCCCTAACCAAAAAGATGAATTTTCCCATAGAATTGCAGTAGAAATGCTGAGTATTTACATGGCAACTTTTCAGAATCCTAGTTTACTTATATTCCACTTTAAAATCATTCACAGGGCATAATTTTGGTATTCCAAATCCCCTTTTCCAAAGAAGTAAAACTTAAAAATTTCAGACAATATTAACGTATTGAAATTATTAGGAAGGAGAGCTGTCCTTACTTAGATAAGGAGCTTTTTAATCTAAATATGGAATGTCGTAATTCTAATTTAAAGCACTACATGCTTTAAACCCCTGCTACCTCAAGAAGGTATCCAACGTTATTTCCTTAAGATCACTGAAAATCAGGGCTGTCACAAGGTAGTGCCACAGAACATGTACTACTTTCATTTTCAAGAATAGTTGTTGACTAATTCAAGAAACCTGTAGCTGGTTAGCTGATTTCCACACTCTTTTGGTACCACAGTGTTAATTTAAACCAGCCTCGGTTGGCCAGAAAAATGGTCTAAAGCCTTACTTTGGGTATCTAAGATGAGAGACGCAGCTGTGGCACATACATACACAGCAGTGGTGTATATATATGTGAACACCGGGTGGTGCTGTTGGTACTTTGTAGTGCTCCTTTAATTCCTCACAGAACCTCGGCATCTACCTAATTTGTATACAGTTTACTTTATACAGATCCCAGCTGGATCATACTGTTACTAACTTAATATACCTGTTACTAACTTAATATATATTGTCTCTTTCCAGAATAAAATCAATAATAGTATGTGAAATCTTGAGTAAAAGAATGATTTTATTCTCAGGCAAGTTTCATGCCTTTTTCAGTCATGATGAACAAAGCTGGCCAAGGACTTAGAAACAAACTTGTTTTCAGTAGGGGAAAAAGGTTCCTGTGAACTTTTGAAGTCATAACTCAAAACCTTCTAAAATATACCTAAACATACTCTTCATATCCATACACACACAGGTATACCACAGTAATATACAAATCTGTATTTTCATTTCCCCAAGTACACGGGTTAAAATAAAGCCAAGTACTAAGTTACATCTAAATGTCAGGCTTCTTTAATATGTGCATATGCAGGTATGAATTCTTAACTGGCTGGGGGCTTGAGTCAGTCTATCCTAACACTCCACCACTCAAAATCCACTACAGTGCCTAATGTCTGAAAGGTGAGCACTAGACTCCATGCTACTACTGTGACCACTAAAAGAGAAATGGGGACAAAGAGACGTTAAATGCTGCCATCTGAAACACTTACCTGCAGTGATGACTGACACATTTTCTCTTAAGTTTCAGATTTATGATTGTTTTCTTCTAGTTTTTTGTTTTCTTCTATATTTCCAAGATCTTTGTCTACATGCTTTGATGCTGTCCTGTAATGAAAAAGTAAGGTAATTTTTGCATGTCTACAGCATTTTGCTCCATTCTCACTGTCTCCTCCCCTCTCAGCAAAAGAGAAAGCTCTTACAGTTCTGTTCTTAGCAGAGCAATAGGCTTGCATATGTCTGTAAACAGGTCAATAGCATCAGTTCCCCTGCTGGCTCTAGCACCACAGGAAGTATTGCAGAAGGGTCATGTATTTGGGTTCGATTTACTTCTTGAGGAAATTCAGAATTATTCTGAGCTAGCATTAAGTAAGGTTAAACCAGTTGTGCAGATCCATGTTTCTTGACAAATTGATTGTGTAGCTTGTTTCAATAAACAAGAGTTTGCTCTAATGTACTAAAATGTTACAAGTGTGGCTAAGGTATCTTGATCAACATAGCAATCTTTCGTGTGCTTGCAGTAATTGACTTTCAGTGTCGGTACCAAATGGAGGCTCTATAAATGTGAAGAAATTAATGAAAATTCTGGCAACACCAAAAAAGAAAAAAAAAATAACCCACTCAGGCTTCTCGATCTGTGCTGGCTGTGACTGACAAGCTTTGGGTAAAGAAGAGACTGTAAATATTGAGGAAGAAAAGAAGAGGTATGCCTCATTTAAAATAGCAGGTCTTCCTTAATGTGAGCGGTGGATATGAATTAATGAGTTAAGTGCTTAGTTTAGCTTAGCACAATAAACCCACTACACCACTCATTTAACTTGTGAGAAGCCTCACTGTCTGCCAAGGTGAAAGATTCCTGCAGTGCTGCGATAACATTTTGAAGGCCACAATTTTTAAAATGTAAATGAGCAAATGTGTTTGCGTGGGCCTAGGTAAATCCTTTGTGTCAAAGCAGATTACCTTACACGTGGTTTTTTCTATGGATAATTTGTTTCCCCTACAGAAAAGTGATGTCTGTGTGACAGATTCATGCATATGATCACTCTTGTTTCAGGGTAAAGATCTGTAGTGACACTGACTTGCAAAATACAATGACGACACAGGTTAGCAAGATATAGTATGACAAGTCACACTGACACCATGCAGGTATGTGCCTCCCAAACGGCTGATCTGAGTTTTTGCTAGCGGAGTGCTTCTGTGCACATCCTCCATCTGAGCAAAGGCCACTAGCAGCAGCTAAGCACTGTGAGTGCCCTGAGTTGAAGTAGCCTTGAATAGCCATGTTAAGAGAGTGCAGTTTAGTCCTTGTCTTAGAAGAGCTTCTGAAGGGGTGTAAATGCACTTAACCCTCAACAACTCTTGGGGCACTGGGGAAATGCTGCTCTCTGGGCTGGGGAGCAGAGGTGGAATGCTAAAGGGGTGTGGGATTTTGAGCCCTAAATCCCACAGATTACACTGAATGGGACCATTGTAAGATCTTTCTGGTTTTAGTGTAGGTCATTTCCCAAGTTTTAATGTTTCAAAGCTGCATTTACCTTTAACTACTGGTTTTAGAGTGCCTCTGTTATGTTTATGTGGCTGACAGGAAGCTGTCTATGCTGAAAACCCACTTAAGTATCTGAACTCCTACTTATCGCAGGCAAATTTAATTGTTAAAATGCTGAGATTGTATCACAAAGTAACTTGTTCAATAGTGGTAAATATCTATTGTGCAGTAACTTTCTATTTGTCTCTGGTATTCAAAACTTGAAATGTGGTGTGCATAGAAGAAAGGATGTGAGATGCAATGAAGAAGAAAATTCAATGCTTTGGTAGAGATTGACCTGCTGTGATCTTAATAACCTTTCACAAATCTCTCTAATCCTAGTAGAAAACAATCTCTCCCCCCTCCCACCCTCACCCTGACAAATCCCTTAAATATTAAAACCCCTTTTTTATTTAAAGAAAAAAAAAAGTTTGGTTTAGGTAGAGAACAGGATTTGGCTTGTCATACACCTACTGTGTCTTTTCCTTAAGCAAGTCTTATAAAATTGGCGACAGTAGGGG